CGCCCCCACACCGCGATGCTCATGACAAGAATATTATGTATAGTTATCTTTATTGAAGTGAATTAGGTTTAAATCGCCGTCATGCATGAATGAATGATATTTTTGCAATTTTACACATAATAATCCATGATGATCATATTACACAAAACTGAAATTGCACGTCAAAATAACACATTGTCAATATTTTTTGAGACCCCCCAAAATTTCACAAATCCCGTTTTCAGGGGAGCCCATGTCTTATTAAGGGGAGCCTAGCTCCCCCGTAGTTCGCACCCTGAGAACAGGTGAGAGGAAGGTCTTCGGCTGAGTAAACGTGACGGGCTTTTCGCGCTCAGGGGAAGATGGGGACGCTTTGTGTTGCTCGAGACCATTAGGGTTTGTCCGGCAACGAAGATAGCTAGATAGATTGAATTTGTGTAGTTAGATAATGCTGGGGAGGGTTTAGGAGCGCTGACCATATGTTCCAAGAGCGTTTCAAAGAGACTGTATTGTGCGCAAAGAGGACTCATCCGTATTACAGATATTGTGATTCCCAAGGAGAAGTGTGCTGTGTACCAAAGACTAATTACTACCAGTGACGTTGTGATTAATTGCCGTAACTGCGGGGACGGGAATAAAGCGAAGAAGAGTGCGTGCTTTCTTTGAAGATATCGATCCGGCACGGCTGATTCCTTTCCCTAGACCCCGGGTGGGGTCTTGTGTCCTGGAAACGGGGAAGTGTTTTACATTTTAAGTCTCTTCACGTGTTGCGTGTATGTGTGAGTGTGTTAGTTGTGAGTTTTAAAGTTTATATGAACATGATTACTCCGTCTCCGTGTACGGGACTGGGGAGGCGCTGATCTTTTCACTTGTTAAACTGATTGTTTGATCACGATTTCTAGTGTGCCGTGCGGGGCTGGGAATAACCACTAGAGTGCAGTGTAGTGCAGTGTTGAAGTTTCACTTGTGTAGCGCCGTTTGTCCTAGTGTGGGTGTACAGAGTGAAATGTTCGTTGAACTTATTTAAATGTCTCTTTACATAAACGGTTATATTTTTCTATGTATAATTGTCAGTAAAGTGATAATTTTCTATAAAATCCTGGTGTTGTGATGTACCCTCTGGCCTCCATTAATTTGATTGAACCTCTTTAAGTTAAAATAGTGGTTTATTATAACTGTTATCGTCACCGGCATATTGTCAAAGTGTCTAATTCTAACATTTGGTAATATTTCTATTCAAAATCGCGATTCCTCGATTTCTAAAAAATAAAATCGTGGCAAAACAATAAATTCGAATTAATCGGGAAAATCGCCCAGCCCTACGAATAAGTCTCGTGAGTGTAACTACCGAATCAAAATTTTGATGTGAATGTGTCTCTCGAGTTTCAGTTGGAGCTGGAGCCGCGAGACACAATACAGCGCATTGCTTGAGGTAGACAGGGACGCGGGAAGTAGGGGTGCTGAGGGGGCTGCAGTACCCTCTGTTTTCACATGGTTGCAAATGCAACGCCAAGTTTGTTCATTTAAATGTATTCAGTTTTAGTATTTAATAATTTATTTGTAATGATCTCTGAAATGTAAATTGTAAGTGGGCTATAATAAACCCATGTTTATCTTTATAAACATGATTAATTTAACTTGTGATGTTTTCTATATGTGATGATTAGCCTAATCCTCATGAACACGTGACGCTGGCGCGTGGTATCAGACATGAACTATACAGAATGCGAACAAGATTAACTTTAATACAAGGAGATAATGGCGCAAAAGCGAATTTCAGATTTTTTTTTAAATGCCAATCCCAGCAAAAACTTTCCAAAATCGGCATCCAAACAACACCAGCCCCAGCACGAGCACCGACATAAGTTAAACAGCCCCCCCAACACGGACACACACAGCACCCCCAACCGAAAACATCTTCCCGCGCCCCTGGAGGTAGATGTTGTATTTTGTTAGTAAATGTTTCATTATATAGTGTTGCCTCCTTCGTTCACTATTACACTACTGCATATATTGCATCTGATACTCTTGTCGCCTAGTTTTGTAACGTAAGCCCACACTTTCAAACGTTTCACTCTTGACGCGATGACTGATCGCACACAAAGACACACAGCACATGTGCATGGATATCACGCGCACGTCGAGCAAAGGTCGGCCACATCATTCAAGTGAAGGAAAATGACAAGCATCAGTTTCTAATTCGTTGTTAAAGGGATAGTTCACCCAAAAATGAAAATTCTGTCATTAATTACTCACCCTCATGTCGTTCCAAACTCGTAAGACCTTCGTTCATCTTCGGAACACAAATTAAGATTTTTGATGAAATCAGAGAGCTCTCTGACCCTCCATAGACAGCAGCACAACTGTAATGTTCCCAGGTCCAGAAACATAGTAAGGACATCGGTGGTGCAACTTCAATTTTGCGAATCTACGAGAATACTTTTTGTGCGGAAAGAAAACAAAAACAACATAATTTATTCAACAATTCTTCTCCCCTGAGTTAGGTCTTCCGCCATTTTGGAGAGTTCCCTAAGCACGTAATCGATGTAATCAGCGTTGTTTACGTTTGGGGGGAAAGTGCGCCCATGAACGTAATCTGGGTAATCCGCATTGTTTACGCTTAGGGGAAAGCGTGCGTATGCGTTGTGACACTCTCTAAAATGGCGGAAGATGGTAACTCTGGGGAGAAGAATTTTTGAATAAAGTCATTATTTTTGTTTTCTTTGTGCACAAAAAGTGTTCTCATAGCATCACAAAATTGAAGTTGAGCCACTGATGTCACATGGACTGTTTTACCGATGTCCTTGCTACGTTTCTGGACCTGGGAACATTACAATTGCGTTGCTGTCTATGGAGGGTCAGAGTGCTCTCCGATTTCATCAAAAATATCTTAATTTGTGTTCCGAAGATGAACGAAGGTCTTATGGGTTTGGAACGACATGAGGGTGAGTAATTACTGACAGAATTTTCATTTTGGGGTGAACTAACCTTTTAACATTGAAGTTATACGGAGATAAAACAACGCAAGTATCGATGACAGTATCATTTGTCCTGAAGCTTATCGGTACTCCCGGGATTGACCCAATTACGTACCGGTCCAAAAAATACCGGTTCTCGGTACCCATCCCTACCTACTCACATTTGCATAAAATTGAGCGTTGTTCCGGCTTTCATGACTTCATGTCCACCATTTTTAAAGGAGGTGGTTGTTCCATCACACATAATACAACATTCAGAGAATAATCTACCTATAATACAGTTTATTTAGTTTGCCAAGTAATACGTAGTAAATTCGCCTTTTTGTGGAGCTACATGCATTGCCATTAAAGGGTTGGTTCACACACAAATGAAAACCTATAAGATTTACATTCACCTTAGAACACAATGTGAGGATATTTTAATGGGATCTGAGAGATTTCTGTCCCTCCATTGAAAGTTCAAACAACCAAAACTTTGACACTTCAAAAAGTTTATAAAAACATAGTAAACACAATCCATATGATTCTGGCAATTTAATCCAGGTGTTCTGAAAAGACGTGATTGCTTTATATTTATTTATATTACAGGTTTAATTTAATTTTAGTTTAAGTTTTTATTTACATAAACATTGATCAGAGGTCATAAATAAAGCTCATCGAAAATGGTAAACGAAAGTTCAAACATGATTGCTTGACATGCAAGAACCAATTAGGTTTGCTCTCACCCATCAAGCAAGTATGGTTGAGTTTCTGTGTTTCAGTTTTGATGGGCTTTATGTATGCGCTTTGATAAATGGTGTTTTGATGTAACCGACTTAATAACACTTCATAATAAGTAACAAAGCACAGTCATTTGCAAACTATTAGTTTATAGTTAATTCATAGTTTATAAACTATTGTCTATTAATTGTTAATACGTTAATTTTATGTACAACTACTGAGTTCTTCATTCATTGTCACAGTAGTTAACCAATTATTATTGCTTAATTAGCTCGTATGTAAAGACTTAAATGTTTTGTTAACAACTTGTTAACCATACCTAACTGATGTACAATTCATGCAGTAGTAAAGGAGTTGTTAATGGTTACCAGGAGTATATAGTTGTCACTTACATTAGGTCACAGAAAATACTAAATTAAAGGCAATAACCTACCTCTATTAGACATTAATGGCATTAATGATGTGTTTCTAAAATTGTTAGAAACACCTTAATTAAGCATATGTTTATCAAGTCACTTTACACATAAATGTTACTTTAAGTTTCTTTACAAGTAATAACTTTGTTTTTATGAATGACCATATGCCTTAAACTTAGCCACTTTTCAGTACATATTAAAAATGAAAATGTGCAGTGACAATTATGTAAATATGTGTCTCTGCAAATGTAAGTAAATGTATGTTATAAAAAATGCATACAAAGTCTCATGAGAATATATTTAAAGGGGTCATATGATGCGATTTCATTTTTTCCTTTCTCTTTAGAGTGTTACAAGCTCTTGGTGCATAAAGAAGATCTGTAAAGTTGCAAAGACTAAAGTCTCAAATCCAAAGAGATATTCTTTATAAAAGTTAATCTCACGCTTGAGGTATTCGGCTAATCACAACGCACTGGATAGCTGGCTAATCAGAGCACACCTCGCTTTTCAGACCGATTAGTTTTGTAAAAATCGACGCGTTTCAAAAAGGCGGGGCATAGAGGAGAAACAATAATGTACAGTATGTGGAAAATAATGTGTTTTTTTAACTTTAAACCGCATAAACACATTTCATTACACCAAATACACAAAATAATGTTCTTTTTAGCAGCATCATATGACCCCTTTAAATGCATCAGTTAGGGTTACCATACATTGAGTAAAAAACAAAGGATAAAAACATTATTTCCTCTTCACATATAAGCTAATTAAAAAAATAACAATAATTTGTAAATTAAAGTGACAATGAATTAGGAACTATCCTATTTCAACTGGCCTGTTAATGTATTAACAATGTAGAGATTACAATTTATAAACTGAATTAACTACAAACTAATACTTTGCAAATTATTCTTAAGTACTTTATTACTGTATGTTAAGCTGTCTAATCTGCTGTCCTGTCCTGCCTTTAAGCCATCTCCTTATCCAAAGACCACAAAAGTCCCAATGCTTTAACACACAAGCTACACCTTGACCCTGCTATCCCATGTTGTGATGTCTTAGAAGATTTAGCGTCTGACTGGGTGGTTAGTGAGTAGCCTCATGCCAGTCATAGCAAGCGAGGAAGCAGACTTTACCATTGATCCCTGCCAAGATCTTTTCTCACCGCATGCTCTCTGAGCCCAGATCAGTTCAGCCTGAACTGCAGTCAGGTCGAATTAGCATGACACTGGCTGCTCCAGGCCAAGAGTGTGTCCTCTAGCGGTTCACAATGTGAATCTGACTGCAGTCATTGACTTCAACAGTTCAAGTCTGACTCCGTACATAATGTATTATGGCTTCAGGAATAGAGACTTCTTTTATGTATTCATCTTGTGTATCACACACACAAAGCACATATTGTTCTAGAAAGCCACTGTCAGTCACACGTCCACCATTTTTCACACAAACAGTCTCGCCTCTGTTAATCCCACCTTATTTATATATTCTTTTTTTTTTTTCTCTTTGCTGCATCTCTTCAACTGGCAAGCAGGGGGGATTTTAGCATCCCTATGCATGCAGTCTCATTGTCCTCAGGCAGATGCCCTTTTGCCCCTGTGCCAACTTGGCAAGGTGAGGAGGGCACCAAGGGAGTGTTGCTGCTGTCGGCTTCACTGTCTCTCTTTTGTCTCAATGTAAACTGTAGCAGTTTTCACTCACAGCGTGAGAAAGATCAAAAAAGATCCAATTCACCCCCTTGAATCCACTGGCTTGCTGTCATAAATCATTTCATGAGTTGTCACTGTATTGTCTCTTAAATTTATAAGAAATTACATGTTCATAGTTCAGGGGTGATACAAAGCAATATCTTTCTCTTTTTTTCAACAACAGGACACAACTACTATAGAGAAGATGTCACACTTACTGGAAGACATGTAAGTATTGAAACTTACAGCATCATTTCAGCCATTTAATAATAATGTAATGCCATCTACGCAATCATTACATGGAGACATGTAGATATGGAGACTGGGGCTAGTTGTCACCGCTTAAGTACTCAAAAGTCCAATCAAACAAATGTTTGTTTATCTATCTATCCTGTCTATCACTGGTTTTGTATATACACTACTGTTCAAAAGTTCGGTGTCTGTAAGATGGTGTTATTATTATTATTTATTTTGTAATATTATTTTTTATTTAATTTAATTTCATTATTAAAAAATACTTGTATTCAGTGAAGACACGTTCAGTTGATCAAAAGTGACATTAAAGACATTTTAAATATATGCTGTTCTTTTGTACTTTCTATTCATCAAAAAAAAAAAAAAAATTGCAGTTTCCACAAAAGTAGTAAGCAGCACAACTGTTTTTTTTTAAACTGTTGAAGTGATTCTTGACCTATCATCATATTAAAATGATTGCAGAAGAATGAAAATTTAGCTTTGCCATCACAGGAATATATTACATTTTAAATTATATTAGAATCGATAACAGTCATTTTTAATTGTAATATTTCATAACTTTATTTATTACTTTTAATAAATTTTTGATCAAATAAATGCCACCTTGGTGAGGCTTTCAAAAATCTTGCCGACTCTAAACTTTTGAATGGTACTATAAATGTCAAACACCTGGTTCAAAAAAACACTTGAAATTTTATAGGGCTGAACCAGAATATTCGATTATTCGAATATTCGTTCGGTGGGTTGTGTAGCGAATCAGCTCATGGGGAAATATGAATAATTAATCATAACTAGTTATAATTAATTATAAATATTTAGATCCGCTGTAGATATTTACTTGACCTCTCAGGGTCAACTGTCTGTCAATTCTAAGAACGTTAATTTCCTGGTTAAGGGAAATAACTTTCTTACTGTACAACTCTACACAGAGCCTGCAGCATAAATCTGCATGATTAGGGACTCCAGTTATGAGAAACAATGAACAACGTCAAGTGTGATACAAATGTCCTGGGCCTTGTTCACAGACAACTTGGCACCCAGTATGTTTATTGGGTGAGGGGTCTGTGAATGTTTGTTAATCTAATGAATAATTGATTTGTTAAATCAAATGAAAAATGGTGTGTCTGATTGGTCCAGACGCTACAGTTGGCATTCGATTTTCAATTTTGAGATTTGAATATTCTTTTCTATTTTTTCCCCGAACACCTGGCATCCCCCGCAAAACGGTTCTCATTCGCGCTTGAATATGAATCGCCCATGAGTGAACGTCATGATTCAGTTAATCTGGAAGAGAAGACAAAAGTGACTAAGACTGCAGTCTTTAAATTGAGTGAGGACAAGACAAGTGCAGTAGAGCCCTGCACGGACCTCATATTTAGGCCCTAGCCCTGGCCCGACACGCTCAGGCCCTAGCCCGGCCCTTGTCCGACAGCTTATCAGAATTACCGGCCCGAGCCCGACCCAAGCCCGTCTTTTTTTCCCCCCTTCTCCCAAAACAGCTTGTACTACTCTTTCAGCTATTAAAATAGTTCAGTTTTGTATGTAATGGCAAAATGATTATATTTCGTTTAGTTTTTTTTTTTAAGTTAATTTAGAAAACCGTTTGGAGCATTTTTTCATTCGTTAAATATAAGTTTTAGTTTTTTAAAGTAAAAGTCTCTGCACACTGAGTCCGAAATTTTCGTATGCGTTTTTTCACTGCGGTCAAACCAGCCGCGTCTTGAATATACACGGTCAAGCCAGCCGCACTTTTTTTTTGGCTGCACGTCTAATCGCGCACTTACTGTATGGGTGCTGGGAGCAGTCAAAATGTATTTAAAGAAGCTGTCATAACGGCGTTTCCTTTATACTTTTGCTGATATTTTCAATAGATTGCTGTTCACGGTGACCCAAAATATGTCTGCATAAAACGTAATTTAACCCTACAAAGACCATAAAGCAACATCAGAATATTTATTTATTGCTATTTTATATCTTGACATAATACAATTTCAGAAAACTCTTTAAATATAAAAAACGTACTTACAGTCTTTGAGTCAGAACAGCCGGCATAAAGTAGTTTCGCTTTCACAACAAAACACAGCGTCAGCCACGGCCTTTTCGAGAAGAGGCGGCGGGCTGTATTAGTATTATATGTAATATTTCCTCAGCAACCAGCATGGATCAGCTCCAGGCATGACAAAGCAGATATCGTCCTCTTTTGGAAGACCAAACAAAGTCGTTTCGCTTTCACAACAAATCACACAGCGCATTCACAGAATAAAAGTTACGCCTTCTTTCTTTGCGTGAACATTTGGGCGGCATTATGCAAATCTTCCCACATAGTGATGTAGATATGTGGGGGCGTGTTAGAACGAGCCGTTTTAGGTAGGCATGGCTGACTCTTAACTTTTATAAAGAATATCTCTTTGGATTTGAGACTTTAGTCTTTGCAACTTTACAGATCTTCTTTATGCACCAAGAGCTTGTAACACTCCAAAGAGAAAGGAAAAATTGAAATCGCATCATATGACCCCTTTAAAGGCGCATTCACCCCAAGCATCTGAGTGCATCCTTGCCCTTTTACACCATGTCCCATATTCAAACACTTATAAAAAAATATTTCCTTCATAGGTTTGCTCGTTCTTTCAATTGATTCCTGTTCACAGTGACCCTGACTAATACTGTATTAATTTTCAAATATTTTTACTGTGTGGTTTTGGAGAAAATTAATGGCAAATTCACTCCAAAAAACAAAAGTGCATTCTAGTAGATGCACCATTACCCATTTTCAAACACTCATAAAAATCTTTCCTTTATAAGTTTGCTTGTTCTTTCAATTGGTTCCTGTTCACAGTGTCCCTGACTATTACTGTATTAATTTTCAGGTCTTTTTACTGTATGGTTTTGGAGAAAATTAAAGCCAAATTTACCCCAAGCATCTGAGTGCACATCCTTTCACTTTTACATCATTACCCATTTTCAAACCCTCATAAAAATCTTTCCTTTATAGGTTTGCTTGTTCTTTCAGTTGATTCCTGTTCACAGTCACCCTGACTATTACTGTATTCATTTTCAAATATTTTTACTGTATAGTTTTGGAGAAAATTAAAGGCAAATTCACCCCAAGCATCTAAATGCATAAGCCCTTTGCATCACGTCCCATTTTCAAACCCTCATAAAAATATTTCCTTTAGAGGTTTCCTCGTTCTTTCAATTGATTCCTGTTCACAGTGACCCTGTCTATTGCTGTATTAATTTCTCAAGTCTTTTTACTGTATAGTCTTGGAGAAAAGTAAAGGCAAATTCACCCCAAGCATCTAAGTGCTTAAGCACTTTTACATTGTCCTATATTCAAACACTCATAAAAAAATCTTTCCTTTATAGGTTTGCTCGTTCTTTCAATTGATTTCTGTTCACAGTGTCCCTGACTATTACTGTATTAATTTTCAAATAATAATTAATAAGTAATTAAGAGCACAAAAATAAGTCTGGAAAGTTCTATTTAATGACATTTAAAATACGACCTGGCTAAACTAATTTAGCTCTTGCATCCTGTGAAATGCCCTAATTTGGAACATATACCTTATCTTTTGAGTTCAAAAACACATGGTAAGTATTATATAGCAAACATTATTTGCTATTATTATTATTAGCCTATTATTATTTCAGTGTGAATTGTAGAAAACAGTCATGTTCATGTTTTGATGGGAAAAAATGGTTGAGGTTTCCTTTCCTTTATTTTTATTTGTTTGTTTGTTGTTGTTGTTGTTGTTTTTTTGTACAGAAAACTAGTAACCAATTATAGTCCTCATGCCTCTGCAGAACTCCTTGGTGTCATTCTGCCACAGCCTCTGCTGCAGCTTACTCCTATAATAATTTAATGATAATAATAATGCATTTTATTAGGCACCTTTCAAGACTCAATGACACCTTAAAATAACAGTAGGCTATTAATTGATTGACTGCAATACAACCTAATGGAATTTAAACAAGAGTTTTATTAAGACTGAAATACATAAATAAGTTGTGATAGGGATTATGTAACCTTTGTTATGACATTTCACAGATACAAATGCAAATATGTAATTAAACAAAAGCCTAATATGAGAAGATGATTTTAGGTGTATGCATCAGTGTGCAGAAGACAGTCAATAAATGTTCACAGGTGTTGAAGCCACAGTAGGCACTGTTGTGCAGTCTGATGGGATGTACAACAGCATGCCCAAAGTGCTGTTATTCCTTAAGATGCACAAAGTTGTTTTCTGAAATAAGAAAGGCAAAATAAATAAATGTATAATATATATAAAAGTACATAAAATACGATAAAATAAAGTTAAGTAAAATTAAAATAAAAGTGTGATCATTTTCAAATAACGGCACTGATACTATATTATTTTTCTTTTCTTTGTGTTGTCAACTGTCCTTACCTGATCAGTGTCTTGTTGAATCTGGATTTTAATTTAGATAGATCATTTTAAAATTCATCTCAATACAATTGTAATTGATCAGTTACAGGTAAGGAGAAACAAGAAATTGCAGCTAAGCAGACTTATTCAATAGACTGATGATTATGGTAAACAAACACAGCAAAACAAATAATAGCTTTGCAGGCATAATCACCATAAACAAATACAACAACCTCAGGGCTATAAAAGCAAAGACATAAGAAATTTAACTAAAGGTTAGAAATTAGTAACCATGGACACAAATAA